TTTCCTCTTTCAAGTTCAAACTATGATTCGTCTTCCTGCTCGTGCAAATATGATGAATCGCACATGTGGGTGAAAATGACGCGATGCATTATGGAGGATTTAGGTTCGGTAGCAGAGGGATTAGAGAGATTTGACTTCAAGATTTATCGGACCGATGTTTCTGGCGGACTTAATTGGGTTGTTTTGGGGAAACAAAAATACCCTTCCGTAATTCTCAATTTCAATTTAATTTTTCTCGGTCAATCGTGTCTCGGTTGAAGAAATGATGATTTTTAGCTACCTTCCTCTATCCTACAAAATCCTACAAAACCTCTTGTAGCCAATTTCAGGAAACCGTTTATGAGTCATTCGGAACATTTTTCTTTTGCTGCTTTGTGGTTTGAAGGATTTTTTTTTCCGAGGGAAAATATAGCCCGACTTGCAACTCCCATAGCAAAGTATGTGCCCAAAGCAAATATGTGGTATGAAAAAAAAAAAATCGCTACCGGGCCATTATCAAACTCTCGAGACTGACATATGGCAATAGACAGCAATCATGTCCATGTGTCGATAATGGGGGCTGGAGAAATCAATGAGCCATCAACATTGATATGTGGTGACTCTGCCATTAAACCTTGTACAGCTGAGGTAATGGCCTGAAATATATTGCACGAGGTGATCCCGTGTGATTTGTGTACATGTATCTACTATGAGACCCTCAGGCATTTCGATGACTGCATATCGTCTGACGCGATGCGTCAAGCTCTACAAGGCATTATGCTTTGCGTATTGTCTCTTATTTTTCTGTGTTTGAACGAACGTTTACTTGTACATGTACGATATACTTCTGTCGTGCACATTTTTTCCTCAGGTTTACATGTATAAAGGGAATGAATTTGTGCTTGGACAATTTAAAACAAGTACGTTCGTCTCCAGCCATATTTGGCCACCAGGCTCCCAGCTGGTTTTAAACGTACTTGTTTAAAACTGGCCAAGCACATATTTATTCCCATTCATAAATACCTTTCAGTCAAAAAGTCAATAGGGCCTATACAAGTCAAAAATTCACAAACAACAATTTTATTCAACAATTTAATTCATGTTTTGTGACCCCTCTGGCAATGCCATGGTATGTGCCTCGCGCGCGTAGTCCCTAAAATCTCCTTATATGGAAATTGGCGCGTATGCGGCGCGTACTGCGCGATGTGGCCGTGCAGAACGCGGGAATTGAGTTTAAACCAGCCGGTGTTTTAGCAGCGATTTAAAACCATCCACGTGACGGGCTCTCGACCAAAAAGAAAGGGTAAACAGTCTCAGGTATTTATGAATATTTTTAAAACACTGAACGGAATTTCAAAAGCTAATCACTGGAAAGCTGTGTGGAGGCAACTAGCCAACATTCTGAATGTGCAAACGTTTGGAAATAACACATCTATTCATCAAGCTTTGAAAAGTTTGACCAAAATCTGGAACAGCCGCCCAGTTTCGTTAAATATTCATAAATCTCGAACAGCTTAAGACAAACAAGGAAATCCAGAGGAAACAGCTTCCCTCGGGCACAGCTCCAAAAGCAGACGTGTTTTTCAGCCTCAAGGACAGACTAACTGGACAAGTGATAATTACGAGCATCCTACAAATGTGCAATTTAAAAAGAAAAAAATTGAACCACGATGAGTTTTATTTTAAGCTTCCGTAAAGAGCCGTCCGTGCGATGCTTTTCTAATACTAATACAAACAGTCTGTGAATACTTCAATCTCAGCACGTGGTTTATTTCATATGTCTACACATTTACTTTCAACAAAATCTGACAGTTTTTAAAGACCTGAACAACAAATTGAGAGAGGGGGGAGGGGAGATTCCACAGAGGCGAAGGGGGCCAGTCTAAGGGGGCTATGTTATCTTTCGACCCATGCACACGCAGGAAATTTCGTATTACACTTTTTGCCGCACATGGGATTAACTGGCACGGCTGGATGGCCTGGGCTCCCTTTTAGAAGGTTTTAGAAGTGGGACTACTTCAAAGTGACGTTGTCTGTCTCGTGCCATCACTTGTGTTTTTCTAAAAGTGTTTACACGGTTAACAGAAAAGGGTATCTTTTTTCAGTTCTTTAAATGTCTTGTTTGAAGAAAAACAATGTTCAAGGGGGCTAGAGTATCAGTAAACCCACCGTGACACATGTCGCTGGTGGTTACTATTGCTGAAGTAAAACACAAGGATCGCCAACAAGTGTACTTGTCTAGTCCTTTTTTTGTGAGTCCTCATGTATATTGAAATGGGTGCTTGTCTGTTTAAGACACACATACTGCTGGAAACTCTCTACGGACACGACAGATAAAAATAGCAGACAGTTTTGAAAACAAGTCGGAAATCCCACATGAAAATTCCCCAATGAGTAAGTTGACATTTTAACCAGTTCTTTTAAGAAATGATTTTCCTTAACCTTTCATTTGACTGACTTACTGATTTATTTTTTTCGGACATAAATTGAATGAGACTTAATTGTGGATTTAGCATTTGTTCAAAAGTTTGCAAGTCGGAGCAAAGTGAGTCATGGTTAAGAGGAATAAAACTATCACCATAAAAATGCACTGCCCGACTTCCTTTGCATGCAAATGTCTGAGTGTTGATATAGTGTCTCTCCACGGACTAATTTGTTGGTAGATTGAGCGATGTTGGCAAAAAGGCGATTGGCGACCCTAAATAAGCACCAGATACAAAAAAGTTAACCCGAAATGTCGAAGATCATTTTAACTGCTCCCTTGCACCTTTTGTCGTGGTGAAATCTTTAATGGCGATACTGGGGGAAAAAAATCTTTTGAAGGATATTTTCTGGTGCATTTAATCTTTGCAATGAAACTTGTAGGATTATCTCCTAGAGTTAATCTCCACTATGCAGGGTGGGGTGATGCTTGAGAGGGAATGGGGATTCTCCTCCTGAAGTGGGTACCGATGAACAGGGAGCCGGGGAATCAGAAACTGTGAGATTAAAGCTGACAATCGCATACACGACATGGGGCATGTCGTCATCATCTTCTTTTGACATGATCCTTCTTTGGTTAAAGCTGCTTTCTTTCTTCCCGATGACAAGCACAGACCGGCTTAAATCTCTGGGACCAATCAGGCTATAAAGGCCTTAACTTTCTGACTCAGACGCCAAAGGAAAAAGGACCAAAAAACTTAAATATCAAGCCACTCATCGCGTGCTAACAGGGAGCAGAATCTTTGTCCCCTCTGCGACCTTGGGGTTTTCTTTTCCAAGATTTGGACAAATTTCTGACAAACTTTTTTTTGTGCCGCGCTACCATTCTAAGCTGACGGATAAGCGTTACCTAAACGGGTACTGTTTAAGAGTGGCATGTTAAGGTGCTTATTATGGCAGAGATAATCTGCTTTTTTAAAAAGAGGTTAAATGGCTTCTTGATATGTACACTTCTTGACTTTTGTCACAATTTTGTTTCCCCCAGGAGAACACTATAATGCACGTTTCCAGTTATTCTAAGTCACTAGAAAAATACACTCTGCATTTTTAACAAGCCAAGCAAGAAAGTCTTATCCACCGGCTAAAAGGTGGAGAAAATAAACAAGAGGGACATCCTTGCAAACCAAAATGACCAACGCTGTACCGTTTGCAGTTTTCTGCCCCTGGCTCGATGCAGCCATGATGCGACAGTGCTTAATAATTCAGAACAATGAGACGGTTGGTTTACAGCTCGGCACTGTTTCCAGCGGCCAGACAAAAGTAACTCTTTTTTGAATCCCTAGAAAAGTGCAGGATTATCCCCCCCCCCCTTAGCTGTTATTGCCGAGGTCTAAACCTTGTATCGGCTTGGGTTCTTTCTTAGGGCCGTCTTTGGTAGTCTAAGGTTTGGAGACTGTGGAAAGTGTCTGCTAGAATCTCGAGTCTTTTCAGCTTTTCAGAGAAGAGATGCTACTGACTGCACTAAGTGTCTCGAGTTGCAACACTATTATTGCCAACTTGAGAAGGTCTTGTTTACAACTTACAAGGCTCTATACGGTGTATACTGTTAGGGCCAGTCAAATTGCTCTTTAGCATATATCACTCTTTCAAAAGACAACTACAGCATATTGAGTGTTGGAAATCAGAGAAAAAGAACAGAAATCATGTCGATGAGGAGAGATGACTCTGAGCCATAACAGGTCTGAAAGTGAAATAAATACCCTGTTTGATTTTAACGTACATTGTAAATTGGCCGGGTCCCTAAAAGGAAAAGTCCAATAGGCATACTATCAGACATACAGAACCCAATGACAAGCCAGGGCAACACTGTACTGACGTTATAGCACCCTCTATTGAGACAATTAAAGAGATGGCAGGCAACTTCCATGCCAGACAGCCAAGATGCAGAGTGCTCTGTGCGAATGATTTCTGACTAAAGATGAATGAAACTTTAATGTACGCTGTGCATCATTTGTTAACACCTGTTACAGAGGGCTAAGTCCACTACAGGTGTACGGCGGTACAACGTTTCCAAAAGACTGTGACGAGCACAAAACTGATTGCACAGCGACACATGTCCACTTTGATCAACAATTACAGACCACAACCTAGTCACCAGTTCCGTAAATGACCGCGAAATGTAAGACAGGAACGGCTAATTAGACAACGATTATTGGGATTTGCATGTAGGTCAGCCGGATCGCTGGCGACAACACACTTTAAGACGCCTAACAAGACTTACGTCAATCAAAACACTGACACACACACGAGTGGCCCGATTCCGTCGGAACACACTTCCAACACAAACATTTGTCTGACTGCTAATCTACGTCGCGTGCACACTTTTATTAAATTTGTAGTTTTTGCAAGGTGCAGGAATCGCGCCGCCAAACGGTGATCGATGCCAAATTTCCTTGAATTTTTTTGGAGCCTAACATCACGAGAGGTTTGTTTAATGCCGCGGCCCCAGGTGTGTTAATGACTTAAGGTGGTCAACCTCTTAACATCGTATACACCTGCTGCAGATTAGTGGGGCAGAGAAGAAGGGAACCTGTACTCACATGGTCTGAAGGTTGCGGAGGGGAGCCAGGGTTCCGTTGGCGAGCGACATGATCTGGTTATCGTACAAGGACCTGTGGTGAAAAAAAAGTATTTTGTTACCATGCCATCAAATTGAATGTTACAAAACTTAAAGGGAATATATATACAACATTTGCTTTTGCTGTAATTTTCGGGAATGGATGGATTTGAGGTTAGTGTTTTACAGCAAATACTGTTACATTGACCTGTTTAAACTTGTGTGTTCATAGATACTGGAAAAACCAAGAAAAAAATTATGTTCTTGTAGTCTGGTTCCCTGACCCTACTTCAGATGAAACGGAGCATTGTCAGGGAACCAGTCTAGATGGCGTGCACGTTCACGGATGTGTAAACCGATTACAAACAAAATCTATATTTGGTAAATTGGGGATAGTATTTTGGGGGAAAAAAAACAGGTTTTTTTCCAACAATCGTCAGGAGGGAGGGGGTAACTTACAGCAAGTTTAGAGAGATGAGATCCTGGAAGAGATTGACTCGGATGCAGGAGATGTGGTTGGCGTTCAGGAGCAGCAACTGCAGGGAGGTCAGGCCTCGGAAGATGCCCTCCGGGAGATCGTTGATCTGGTTGCCATAGAGAACTCTGCATCCGTGAGACGGGGAGGAAAACGAGAGGAAGAAAAAAATTATTATTAAAACACAATGGAAGACGTTTAAAGGGACGGTTACAAAATCTGTAATGTTGAAGAAACCACAAGCTGACCTCAGCCAGCTGATAGGTTAAGTGGTAAGACATCTGCCCTAGTGAGCAGCACGTTATCTGTTCAAGTTATACCCGACCAGCTTTGTGAACATTTCTTTCACAAACTCTCCGATAATACTGAGCGTTTACAATTGATAACATTCATGTCGGTGAAGGGCAAACCTATTTCAAAATTTCACCTTGATGGAATAATTCCAAAACATTACTAAATGTGACTTTTCTGGCATACAAAAGGCTCAAGCTATCAAGGCTAATATGAATTTTATCTTAAAGTTACTTTAAAAAACCATGTTTTGCACACCCGGTATGTTGATGGAATCACCCCCAAAAAGTAGTAATACTCTTTACACAAGGGATTGGTCACCGGCACATGTTTTCAATTCAAAATGTTTCGTGATAACATAACTATTAAATCTTGTATTGAAATATCCTGAACTCTTACACATATCCTGAACACTTATCCTAAACACTTACCGGTAGTCGTTTCCCGGTATGTGTCAGGGAGGATTTACATATTATTGTAACCATTCATAGGGTGGGGTTTTTTTTTTGGGGGGGGGGGCTTTTTGGGTTTTTTTTGGTTTTTGAAATACTTATGATAAATCAAGCCTCTATGGCTATAGCCACTATCTCCAAAGACCAAAACCTTGTAAGGTTAACCACAAAGACACGCGGTTGCCCCGACACATCAGATGCCACATTTGTGATCTTTGTAGACTTTTGAAATTCAAGCTTGCCAAAATTCATCTCAAACGTTTTCTAGTCTTTTATCCATTTGCCCACGCCAGGTCAAGTAAGACAGAAGTACAGGGGGACAGTGATCGAAGTATCCGGCGAGGCTAGTGCTGTGATTGATGTGGGATCGGGAACTTCACAAAAGGCAGACACCTCATTTGTTTTTACACCCCGGCCTTATCACTTCAATCGGCCGGGATCAGGAAGTATGGCTTTAGAGCTTGGATCCCAAAAGATTGCCCTAGCTCTGGCACCCTTCCAAACGAAGAAAAACAAAACAAAACACAAAACAAATAAACTAGTCGTGTATTTGTCACGTGACAAACACAGGGCTGTTTCGGCTTTTTTGGTCATAGATTGCATGTATGAGATATTGAAAAGTGACAAGTGTACAAAGCAGAAATTGTGTCACTGACTAGCAATGCCAAAGTTTTATATGCATGTAAGCTACAAATTTAAAAAAAAAACTTGTAAAATTCAAATAATGACGTCAGCATGACATACTTTTACCCTTATCCTGTTACCTATTCCTTGGTGGATGGTGAGAAAACATGCACAAGTGTTTTTTTCAAAAGACACGATGCACAGACTGTCTTGCGACTCTACCCGTGCTGTCAGATCAAAATCAAGAACTAAAGGTAGACATTTTCAAGTAGACCTCGGTTGTTGCAGTAAAGCGGTTACAAAACTGCATCTTACATGTTTTTCTGAATTAACTTTGTTTTAATGGCAAGTTCACGAACAAGTTAGTGTCAGGTTAAGCCAGTGTCACTGACCTGTCTGTTTAGCTTTCCTGTACAGTAACAGTGTCCAAAAACACCATAATTTTTGGGGGGATCATAGAGTTAGCAGATGGACACAACCAAAATGACCCACACTGTATCTTAGGGCTTAGGAAATTCCTGAGGGTCAACCACAGGGCAGATATTAATCAGCCAACGTTTTTCTATCCTGCCACTACCCCCCCCCCCCCTTGACCTTCCACCACTCCTTGTATATTACACACATCTGTTTTTCTTACCACACTATCAATTAGGGCCTATGTACAATATCGATTGGTTACGAGCTTAATTAGATAAACGAAGACTGCAGACGACCGGACAAGGCTTTCGGCGAACCCCGCAAATCAATTATGCTGAACAGCACAAAAATTAAGGAAATAGTAGAGGGGGAAAAAAGACTGCGTTTGTGTAAATATCCAACAAAATGAAATTATAGAAAGCGTGACCTTGGGAGTTTAATGAGTCGGCTCCGGTACTGAGACAGACTTATTCTGTACGCTCCGACGGAGCTGACTTTCTCTTCATTAAAGGTCAGAAAAAAAGAAGAGGGGGGGGGTTGGAAAATTTAAAAAAAAAAGACAGGAAGTGAATGTTTATAGATTTTTTTCTGAGGTTTTGAGAGGCTGATGGAACCTTTTTCTGATCTTTATGAGACACTGGATATTTGTACTGTTATGGGAAAGTTGTCATTCCAAGCTCTTTTTCAGGTCTCTTCATTTAAAATCCGAGTCATTTTCCCCAGAAAATTCATATCCTATTGTTTTACATGTAAAAGGCCAGAATATAGAACTGAACATGATAACCTGGGGGTGTCTTTTTTTTTAAGCAAGCAAGGAATATTTATGCATTTGAGAAGATGTTTGGGAGATGGTTGAAATGTATTATCATACACATTGTATTTGGAATTTTTATGTAAAATTTCATGCAGACAATATATCAAGACAGCTTTTGACATGTACATGTACATGTGGAATGAACATTAATCTCACTGCTTTTTCTCAGTTTCTAGCTAAACTGAACAGTTTTATGAAAATGAGAATAACTACCGGTGGTTTTCCTAAAACTTCTCAATCCAGAAATATAAGTGTTAGCGGTGGGCGAAAACAGCCATTTCAAAATCTGGTTCTCCCAATTCTTTTTTTTTCAAACCGAATTACGGCTATCCGATCTCACCGATTTCCGAAGTGACGAGTAACATGCCGCATGCAATGCGCTCCAGAGCTGTAATGGTTAAAAAAAATGGGTGGGAACTCTCTGAACAGTCGAATGAGCAGGCTATAGGCCCTACCTGAACCAAGAAGACCATAATAGTGAGTGAATGCAGATTCAGTCAGAGACCATGTAGCAAATTGGTGGATGTTCCAAATATTTACTTTAGCTTGTGTCACACAAAAAACGGAAGGCTCATTTTTTTTATGGATGGTTTCGAATATCCGATATCCAAAAATCTAAACCGAGTAGTGGAATTCAAACCAAATTTTTAAAAATCCAGATTTTAATCCCATAAGTATGCCATGGATTGGGAAAACACTTGGGTAAGTAATGTCTGACTTCTCACATAACAATGCTACAGAAGGCATCATACGATAGTCCATTTGGTTTTTTTTCTTGTATTTTGACTAATCCCGGCCCTTCGAGGAAACCTAAGGCCTCAAATCGTCTATTATCTTCCCCGACTCCAGTTGTGACATACAAGAGGCCTGCGCTATTGATCCTGGCCATTCAAGCAATCCAAATCAATGGGAGTTTAAGCATTAGCCTGACACATTAAGAACAATAAGCGTTGCTCTGATCTGGGATTATCCGAGAGTTGGGGGGGGGGGAGGAAGAACATTGACATACACAAATGGAGCAGGGGAATCAATGACCATTGCAACAATGACACGTAACCTTGTTGTACAGAAATGTCAGTTCGGTGAGTTCAGGCAGAAAACGTGATTTGCACTCATTCAGCTAAACACTTCGATCTCAGTTCACATGATTAAAGTTTGAGTGAGGAAAACATTGTAACTGGGCAGACTGTACAGTAAAACTTGAAGACGTTGCAAGATCTGCCGATGCTAGTCAAGAAGGCCTTTGTACACCCTCCAAAATCTCAGGTTTTTTTTTATCAGAACAACATTTCAACATTCAATATTAGGTTTTGTCCTTCACCAACATATAAACACTGTGTACTCAGGTGGGACTCGAACCCACGACCTCCTGCTTTCTAGTGCAGATGTCTTACCACTCGACCACCAAGCTTGCTGGGATCGGTTGGCTGGTTCGAATCTGATACAGCAGCAGTCACTGCAATGAAACTATTCATAAGATGGAATTTTTGCGTCAGGGAGATATAAATGCAATATTAGGTTTACCCTTCACCGACGTATTAGTTTGAAACTTCCCGAGTGAAATTAGAAAAAAAAACATTTCAACATGTCAGTCTGGAGTCAAACGAAGTACAAAATACTTTCTATAACATAAAAAAACAGCACGTTGTAGTCAGGAAAACCCAGATTGAAAATTGGAAAATTAAGTTTGATATTTGGTCTTGTTCTTCAAAGGAAATTCCATCAAGCAAGTCATCAGAAATATAAGTGTTGTGCATGTCAACACTCCGTTGCGTGACAATGCTCCAATTTGATGCATGCTGCAGTCATACTGGAGCCACAATGTAACCTGTGTCACCTTCTACTATGGTTGAAAACAGGGATCTATTAAAAAAGTGTGAATTGCCTGATTACACCATAAAAAATTCTAATGTGCGACTGATGGCTGTGATTCAAGTCACAGATTTGAGAGTGGATCCCGGAATGTCTGTGTGTGGCCTCTGGTTTGGATGTTAGGCTGGAGACTTGATTTACAAACTGTCATGTTACTTACAGTGATGAGAGAGCTCTCAGACCAACAAAGGCATCGTCGGCGATGGTCTCAATCATGTTGTTGCTCAGATCTCTGTGACAGAAAAGGACGAAAAGGACATTTACAGTCTAATACATGAGTTTACTTTAATCAAACTTTTCTAAATCCTCCCAATTCTACACATTTTCAGTCGAACCCAAACTACGGAGGTTGGGAGTATCACTGCAAACACTGTTTTCACAGGCTAATCTTATATTATCTTAAATGGGGAAATTTTTCCGCTGGCTCTCTGAGATTTTTTTGCCTGTATACCACAAAACAGACATTTGAATTTGGATGGCAGACGAGGAATATGATACATTTCCCTCCCCCACCCCCCCCCCCCCAAAAAAAAACATTAAAAAACATGAGTGGAGTGGGGTTTGATGTTACAGAACATACACAATGAAATTTGCCAGAACTTATTCAACTTTTTTTGTAAACTTTTAAATGTATTCAACTTTTTTTTGTAATCCTTGCCAGGATGTAAAATTGCACATTAACTTTTGAGACAATTGTAAAGCGGCCTTAAGACATACAAGTACTGGTTTTTGTTTTAGGATTTTTTTTTGGGGGGGGGGGGAAGGGGGGTCCATTGGGGGTGGGGGTGGGGGGGTCTTTCCTTTTATTTAAAAGGGGGGGGGAGTGTTTACTCACATTCTCTTCAGCTTCTTGTACTGTGTGAAAGCTCTGGATGGGATAGATCTTATCTGATTCTGCTCCAGCCGACTGTAACAAACAATGAAAACAAAGAATGAAATAAAATATTTACAATATCTGAGATTCAATTGTGAAATTTAAAAAGATGATGGCCCAATGTAACAGTTGAGCCTTAAACTTAAGATGCATTATCCATAATAAATAGATTCTTTTTTTTAAATTGCTATTTTTCTAGCAGTTCACTTTTGAATGAGATGGCAACCGAAAATATAGGCCCATAGAATTATAACTTTATAAAATTAGAACTTGACAATTTTGAATTATTGGCTCCCAGAAAATAATTCCGTTCTGGCGGGGTAGGCTGGTTCCTGCCCCACAATCACAGTATCGATAATGTAAGGACCAGGAGCCAGTCTGCTTGCAAAGCAGATCTGTTTGTGTCCAAAACAAAAACCTTTTTTCCAGAGGGTTGCTGATGTCCAAAAAAGGAAAAACGGAAGATTTTTGGTTGGAATAAAACATACAAGTTAAAATGTATTAATAGAACAAAACTTAATTTGTTGAAGAGCACGGAGAACCAACTTTGCCCTTTGGAATTCTTCGGTGTTGGGCTGTTTTTTTAAAGCTTAGCACAGCTTGGGGAAATATGAGCTGTTTTACCTCTGCGAAAGAGTTCAGTCCCAAGTCATGTCCCAAGGTAAATAGAATCGTTTTTTTTGTCAAGTCACATGGTCCATAGAATGATAATCCCATGCGTGCGTCTATTAGTGTGGTCCGATATTAAAAAAAAAAAGAATGAGTCATCCCAAGATGGAATCAACAGATTTTGGCAAGACTTAGTGAGAGAGATCGTCTTACCCATGGTCTGACATGTCAGTAAACTTGTTAATTCTAAGCTTTTGTCCAGGAAAAAACAAACAGCGGAAACGGCTTCTGGAACCACATTCATTACCAAATGACGTCACGAAACACCTGGGGCACAATGACTGTCTGTGTGATTATTTTCAATACTGACAAACAATTCAAAGAAATTGTAAGCAAATCTTGTCACTTGTTTGTTGTTAAAAACAGATTTGGTGTCTAAAGCCTGTCATTTCATCAGAGGTGAATTTAATATAATGCTACCAAAAAAGGGGCCTGGATAGATACGTTTAGGGATTACAATATACAATTTGGTGATAAGATTTATGAAGTGTTTGTTGAGTTTATTAAAAAAATGTCATTAAGATTTAACTTCTGAAAAATAGGTTTATTTAGGAGGAGGGACTGCCCTGTATCGAAGCTAATTTCTGAAGCTAATTTCTGATGGTGGTTCAAGGGTGGTAACTGTTACCTAAATGGTTTTGCAGTATTTTTGAAGAAAAAAATCCATTATGGAGACTCGAGGACGTTCACCCTTCATCTGTCAAAGGGCGGACAATGGCAAGCGCCAGCGATGTAAATCATCCCTTACTATTTACCCGTAAAAACTGCCTTGGCAGTTTGTTTGGGACCCAGGGAAGACCGACGAAGAAGAAAACAATATAGCCTAGGCCTTCTGCTGGATTTGAAGCATGAAACCGATAACGGATAAATGCATACTAAGAGGCCAAGTAAATGGATACTTTTCTTTTCTTTTTTTTTGCAACAATTCAATGAGTGCCTTGTTTGCGCTGAGAAGCAGCCGTGAAATTGGACAAAAGGTTCTGACCGGTTGCCGTCCCTCCAGAGTGTGTCAATAGAAGTAAAAAGCCCACTTGACAATGACATGATGGAGGACAGTATAGAGGGGAGATATATGGAGATAGATACGATGAGAATGTACGCTTCTGGGGTCGATGCCTTCGCCGTGTGTCTTTCCAGCAAAGTGAAGCATTTAAAGGGGAACAACATGTGGACAAAAAACACTCACATACATGTACTGCATATTTCACTAAAGAAATGACTGTACCCATCAATGTGTTTCATCTCCAAAATTCCAACAAGTTTCAAACATTGGCATTTTGGTTTTCATTTCTTCTTGGCACTTTTTAATTCTTTGATTGCAAAAATATATCACTTGATAGCTATTTTTGGTTCCATCCTTGAAAATCAAGTGCGAGATGAATTTGATGCTTTCTTCGCAAAAAGGACCATGCAATAATTTGGCATTTGGATTTTTATGAATTGTCCTCAGTAAATGGAGCTTCATGTATTGAATGGATTTATTATGTGAAATATTTACGTAACTACAATTTATGACACAGTGTTAATTCAGTGATGACTCCATGAAGCCATAGAGTGTTCCAGCGGTTTCAGGCGCTGCAGGGAGTAATAGGCAGGGCGGTTAGGGGCGGTGCAGTTACTAATAAGTTAAAACAAGTCCACACCGAAAAACTTAAACTCTTCAAAGGGACAGAAATGACCCTCTGCTTGCTGGGGACAAAACAAAGGTGTTACCCCACATTCCAAACTGACAGTTTGGGTTTCTGAGAGGTTAAATATTCTCCCTTATCCCCCCCCCCCCTCTTCCCCAGGGGAGAACTACCCCTTCCAGGCTTTCCATAAATTGGCAGGAATTTAAATTGCTACAAAAATGCCCCCATATCAAAATATGCCTTATTAAAATGTGAGGTCAGTGCACTGGCCAAATGGGTGTGGGGGTGTTGTATACCTGTTGGCATATTTAAGGACATTCTTCTTTCCAAATGAGCCGTTTTGTGGTGCTTTGGTCCCGTTGATGATTTTATGGTCGAGTTTTACTACACCCAGATTGTAATTTTTAATGTGACATTTACTGGACCTGGGTGTACGTCCTTGGAGGTTCACATATTCTGCGGGCCACCTACATTTTGTAGAATAGTGTTGTTGCACTGTAGGCAAGCTGTTTTCCAACATGTTAATGGAATTAAATTGGGACCTTGGGTATTTTTTTCTAGGATGCAAACTCAATCCTGCAAAATCCTCCAACTGCCTCCATGTAAAAATTGCATACAGCCTCAACCCTGCAAAACCCTCCGTTATTTCCTGATTGTGGTCCTTGGAGGCGTTGCAGCGCCCTCATTCATTGAAAACAACGGATTTCCTTTTTTTTACTGACTCAAATGGACAATTTTCTTGACTCCCCAGACATTTTGATTAATGTCAATATTATCTGTGATGGTGAATGGCAATTAAGCTTAGATAGCACTTTATGGGATAACAGGTGGCCGATATCAACAAATAGCTACATCATAAATGCCAATATTGGCAGCTGATAATATGGATCATAAACCGGGAAGGAAAGCAAGATATGAGGAAATCTGGCAGACTTCAAAATTGAAAAGTCAATCCATGGTTGGAATGGGGAACTTTTCAATCAAAATGATGAACCACGTGGGGAATGAGGACAACAATATTAAAAAAAAAAATTATCGAAATGCTACATGTGTCAAGAGTAGAGCAGTAGTGGAATTCTCATTATGAAACAGTGTGCAGCTTTCAAGAAAATCTTCAAGTGTTTTCATTTATACAAAGCACACCAAAAATTAATAGCTTTTAAGGGAAATTGGTCAATTCTGACAATCCAACTTGTTATGGTTTTTCCTTGGTAAGATTGGACTATCAAAACAGTTCAGCTAAAAAACTGTCTCAGATGACATCAGCAATGTGATACTTGATCATTTTTTTTTGGGGGGGGGGGCATTTTTCCTGTGGTTGAACTAAACTTTTATCTCGAATGGCAAATGGGTATTCTTGTGACAAAAGGATTCTACCTCTTATTCCCATATCCAAAATATTCCACTTTTCTGCAAAGTTCCCTCACTAGTAACCAAACGCACAAAAGCAGGCAACATTTGATTCAATGCATTCTGTATAGATCTGTTGGTACTATGCTTAATAAACGACCAGCTTCAGCTTTAATACCGGCACTGTTCAGGATATTATGACTGAACTTCACAGACTATACCAAAAACTGACATTCACAGAGTTGCCCCTCGGTACATCGTAACTCTAGATCAAGCATTCTGGAGTGCACTAGGGCAACATTCAGGTCTTATGAATAATCTGGGTTATGCGAATGGTCCCAGGCCATAAGTGTCAATGTGAAACCATCCATTCATTCATTCCGGTGGTTGTTTTCAGAAGGTGAGAAGTAGTCATCAATCTCTCCCAGCTTTTGCAGCTCAGAGCTATAAAACTGTGTCAATGCGGTCTTGAACTTTGAAGTGATACACCGAGGCTTGATGCCTCAGTCTACATAAAAAAAAAAAACGCACAGTTTGTTACTCTGTCACACTTTAGGACCACATGTGGAAACCTGCCAATGAAACCAGGCGACAACCGGAAGTGATTCCTGAAACTTGGAGTGCCAAAAGCAGGCACTAGAGACAGAACGTATTACAAGGGCCCTCATTCAGAGCTCCCAATTTTGAAACGAAAATGGATCAAATATATAATGGAGACATTTTTAATGTCAAGGAGGAGATATTTTATTGGTACAAATCCAGGTTTGCTTGTCAGGTAAACATTGTTGGCATAAATCTGTTTCTACTATATGTTGTCGTAGAAAATGTAGTTCACAGAAAATGTTCTGCATCAAATGGAAATAAAGAGAAGTTCAAAATCAAACTTTGAAACCAGTTTTCACTTCAGACAAACTTCCTCGTTCAATAAACTACCTAAAGCTACAATCCAACCTCAAGAATCTAGGCATTGAAGATTTCAGCTAATTTGTTTAATTAATTTTTGGGAAGCTTTGATTCAAATTTGATAATTTTAACAGGAAGACTCGCAGCTTTAATTACTCTGCGTTTAAGGATCATTTTTGGAGTGGTTCGTGGAAGTTGTTGAATCGGTCTTTCGGCACTCGGATGTGGAACAATGAACTTTGGGTCCCCAGCACGGTACACTGACCCGATTTTACTTCGCCAACCCTGCTATAATCCCTTGCACTATCAGTCCTAATTGCATAATTTATTGGAGCGGGGAACTAGACCTCTCAATTGCTGTGTCAACAGTGCCCTGTACACAGTCCGGTTTGATTAAAAACCCAATCCCCGATTTCCTAATGAGGTCGGGTCTCTTCCATGCATATATATATAGTCAGGCCCGGGGGTGTGAACTTTTGA